CTAAAAGATTAGGGGCCGTTTGTTTGGAGAAAATTGGTCAAAGGGCTGGCAACCGATTTTAAATCATTTATCTTAACCTCTTTTAAATACCTATGCAAAAAAGTACGGATGTGAGTTTTACATACAAAATACTAATTCTAATTTTTTAATTTCAACTACCAAGAAACTTAGCACTATGGATTATTACGTATATCGTTTGATGATTGGTCAAAACGCTAACAACTATTTTTTGTGGTTTCGTCGATTGCTTCAGCAATATTGCGTTGGCATGTGCATCATCCTTTTTAAGGAGAGGCCTATGTCCAGCAGTGGACTAGTACAGGCTGTTGATGATGATGATTGATGATGTGGCTCAAAATAGAAACGGAGCGCTTAACTTTCATTCGGTTGAACCAAGCCAAACTGGTGATGAACAGTCCTAGCTCCTTACGAAATCGTTTTTGGACTAGTGTTTTCTTTTCTTGCTTTTGTTGTTTCTTTTCTTCACTTGTAGCTGACCTAGTTTGAAAAGAAGAAGAAAAGGTTGTACGGAATATCTAAAATCATTTCCATGCAACGAATGCAGGCGTGTAATGTGGAAACCCCGTATTGATATGAATTTTCATTTTCTGGCCTAGCAGCCTCTTGATCCATTAGCATTTTGCTCTGGCTTGCGTTATCTATAAGATTCAAATATTTGACTTTGTATCACTATCAGAAAGCCTTAGCGTTTCCATGAGTTTTGCTTCTATTCCTTCTCCTATTGAATGTAATCCCTGAACAAAAGCATTGTAAATGTGTTCTAAGCGAAATCCACTGAGTAGCGCGAATTTTTTTCTTTTTTTTGTTTATTCTGACGAGTCCCCATAAGAGACACAGGGTTTTCCGCGTTTTCCAGAAGAAGTAGATGGCGTAATATCAGATGTTACTTCTGAGTTCGGTAAAGTTACCAAATATGCCAAATCCAAGTAATCGTTGTACTTTTAAAAAATGTATCCTTTTTCCTCGAAGGTTCTGCCCATCATCTATTAAAGCGAGGAATAAGATTCCTTTGAATATCACTGATAATAAAACACATGTCGTCTTCAGAAACATTTTAGTTTGCTTTTAAAACTATTGATAGAGCTTCAAGTTTTTTTCCTCTTCAATAATTCACGCTTAGAACACTTGAAAGTAGTAGACATTTTAAAATTCAGCGAAGATACAAAACAGTTAAACATCTGTTTAATTTATTACGTATTTGTAATAGCGACATTAAAGAAAACCACTCTCTATATATTATTTGTCAAATGAGGGTGGTGTGCATTTTGTTTATTGAAGTTGCCGACAAACTGAGTGCAAAATGTTGATAAAACGCCCTATTCTCAATAAACAACTAATATTGAATAAAAATGTACCGCAAACTAATCGATTATGTAATTAGTTAGACAATAGAAACCACAGTAGATAGTGGTTTTCTGTTTCCTGACTTATCATACTTTTATGTATCATACTTTTCGTGATAACTTCGGAAACCACACGTATTCGCAGCTGATTTTTATGAATATCTATGCTACAAACCAACATTAAATGTCAAGTGTTGTCGGTAACTGTCAAAAGCCACGATGAAGTTAAAAGATTATCCTTTTTCCCCTCACTTCTTTTTTTTTCATAGAAATATAAAAATAAAACCTACTTTTAGAAATGTATAACACTTTATAACTATTCCCACAATTTTTTTTAAATCAATTAATTTTAAAGCATTGCGAACAAACCTGAAATAGACATTCTTAAGAATTACACTTTGTGGTATTAAAGAAATATATTCCAAATGTAATTCATACTAAATCACTACATTATATTAAAGTTCCATTCTTATACTCGTTTTCAATAAACTTTTAAAAGTGCGTCAATAACGATATCAGTAAAAACGATTTTTGATATGCTGTTGTTGTACCGCTTTCCAAAGAGCGATGTGACACGAAAAAAACGGATAAAAACTATATTAGAAGCGGATTGTATATCGTGTTAATATTTGAGCTCAATCAGTGGAGTTTTCTCAAGTTTTTAAAGCGTACACAAAACAACTTAACTTTTTTATAAATGCTTTTATAGATGTATTAAAGCCGAAGTCGAAATGAATTTGAAATTAATATCTGGTGGTTAAAATATATGTATGTTTTTTGGTCTACAATCTAAGCCATTGCTTAGATTGTAGACCAAGACCGTTTTATCTCAGTTCATTTCTACGGTTAGCATTATACTACGTGGGCCTTCTAATCTGGATAAGCTCTCAAGATACTACATACAATGAATAACAGCAGATGTGATTCATTTGAAACGTGATCTTTTGTAAGAGAGCTTGTAATTCGACTGATTCATGATGTATGAAATCTTTGATAGTTAGAAGTCTAGAACGTGTCTCTCTGGAAAATGTCATGAATCATTCAGCTTTGTGAAAGTATATATTATTTTAAATAATATCCAATCAATAACTATTAAAATTAAAGTGTTATGTATGTATTAATTCTCATGCCTGGATTTAAAGCCTTTATACTTTTAGAGGTTTGGTTATTAAAATATTGGGCTCTGGAGTCATCATATTTAGTTGTTGAATTTTGTTATAAACAAGATATTAAGTACAATTCCTGGTTAAAAAAAATGAACTTAAACCAAACGTCACCAAAGTTTATCTACGATGTTTTGTTCTGTTCGTCTGCTTATAAGTGATTGCTGACTGCTAAGACAGAGGCCATGGTGGTCACTTGTCTACTTAAATAACATCCGAAATTTATATATAATAAGTATATATTTGGTAGTGCATACCCTTCCGCGTGGTGACGGATTAAGAATATAGAGTGTCACCACCCCTATTCATCCTGTGGGTGTCCCGGGTAAGAGCCGACTAAGGGAATAAACTACGCTGGACAACAACATTGCAAAGAGAAAACTTGACACAAACCCTTTATAGGCCAAAAACCAGCCTATGTCCTGCAGTGGACTATTAATTACTGTTGATGATAAATAGGTATTTGAAGCACTAGTCTCGCTCCCATTGTACAGCCCTTCATAGTTTGATATCTTAAGGCATCTCAAACACCACTATGGTACTCCACCGAAGCGGCTAATTATATGTGATTTAAGCTGCAGGTTATTTTTTTATATTTGCCTGAGATACGTAGGTGGTTTTTTACTTGACGAAAATTATTTATTAATGGTTTTATTATGGTGTTGTCGTGAAGATGTTAAAAAAATAAGTTAACTTTAACTTAATCAGATTTTGCATGAGCTTTGACATCGAGGGCTTAATTAAAAAACAATTTAAGGTGTTCTCTTTTTGAATTTACTAAAGCGTTAACAGAGTTCACAATATTATTAAACAAAAATTGACTGCACGGATTTCTTAGTGGTTTAAGCGGTCACCTCGCCGCTTCCTACGGCACTGAGTGTTAGCGCGTTAGCAGTGTGGGTCCGATCCCCAAATGGGACACTCTGAGTGATTCACAAATTGTTATTCTGAGTCTGGTGTTCTTTTTGTCTGTTTAATGTACAGGACAACACAACACAGGATGTATTCCTAGTACGGGAGTTGTCTTTTAAAAAAGAAAATCTTTTTTTTTTATTAAATAAATAAAATATATTTGCAATATTTTCTAAACGGCTAAGCAATAATTGGCAAGCCTGTTAGTCTAGTGGTTAGTGACCCTGACTGCTACGCCAGAAGTCATGGGTTCGATTCCCACCCATGACAAATAATTGTGTGATGAGCACAATCATTTGTTAGCTGTCTAATATCTATAACATGTATGTATTTAGTATGTTAAGTATGTTTATCAGCAGCAGTTTGGTTACCATAGCTCAGGCTCTGTCTAGTTTAGGATCAGACGGCCGTGTGTTAAGTTAATATTATTAGTAAAGCCTGTGTCATAATTAGAAAATAACAACTTTACTGAATCAAACTAGACAAAACTCATTCTACTAGTAGCGGTAACTGTGAGCAATGTGTTATCACTATTTTTAGTATTAGTAGGTACTAATTCTTATGCCAAACACTGCAATACAAATAAATATTTAGAAATATACTAAGATACAACGACGATTTATGGCGCAACGAATTACCCATAATCAATTTTATTGAACTTTAAGATTGTATGTTTTAAAAAGTTTACATGAGCTAATAAAATATTACTTTTCCTGGATGAAATTTAGCGAAACGTGAGTTTTATTATATACTAACTATTGCCCGCAGCTCCGCCCGCGTGTACTAACTGTAAGTAGCCTATGCTACTCGCTGATAATGTAGCTTTAAATTGGTGAATTTTCAAAATCGGTATAGTGGTTTAGGCGTGAAAGCGTAACAAACAAACAACCTCACTTTCACATTTATAGGATCTAATTTACCACAAATAATGTAGAGTCTAGTATTGTGAACGTGCGCGACAAAGGTTTTGCCAGCTGGCAGGACATTGTAGGAACAAATCAAAAATTTCAGTTGAAATATATTTAATATAAAGTAGTGTGTGAGCGAATGGGACAGAAAACTGTATTTACAACACTAGTGGCCTACAAAAGCACCAAGGGTTTATGCGGTGCTCTTGTAGTATTTATAAGTCCAGATTATAATAACAAAAATAACGTAATATATATTTGACGGTCTAGTGCTTAGTGACTGACTAAGCTAAGCCGGAGGTCGTGGGTTCCAATCCCACCTAGGACAAATAACTGTGTGATGAGCACGATTACTTGTTATGCGTCTGTGTGTAATTTATCTATAATATGTATGTATTTAGAAATATTTAAGTATGTTTATGAACAGTCTAGTTACCATTGTATAGGCTCTGCCAAGTTTGGAATCAGACAGCCGTGTGTGAGATATTTTGCATATCTCACACACGGCTATATAAATATGCATATAATTAAGACATTGCATGAATTGAAATTTAAAATTTGTTACCATATTTAAAAGACGATCACTCCCATTTCCTGGGGTGCCCACGCGTTTTTACTACTTATTTCTTTAATATATACATTTAAAAACTTACCACATTACTAATGTTGAACCTAACTCTCACTTTACTGTCTTTTTTCCGTCTTTTCATTTTGGTAAATGTCCTTTTATGTTGTCACTTATTATTTAACCCATTTCAGTTATATAATTATAATGGTTATTATGATTCACTACAGTTCATAGCCAAGCTTTGTCCATGTATATACTCATTTCTATATTCGACAATTTCGAGACGTTAGAAAACCGATTATTCGTTTTTACAGATTTTATTGAAAACTACAATTGTTATACTATATTATCGTTTAATTATGAAATGTCATAGACTAATAGTTTATTTTAAATATAACACTATTTTACCATAAAGCCATGTATCAAAAAAAAATAGCTTTGAAAAATAAAACAAAGATGCACAAACACAATAATTCCTAATTCAAATTCGAAGATCTCAAATCGAATACCATGTCGTTAATTACATATCGATTTAATGAAATCACAGGTATACACATTATTACACGAAAACTGCATTGGACCCGATTTCGTTTGAACGTAGGCAAAAGTGTACGGATGATAGCGAACTAAATTGTGAGAGTAGGTAGTTCCGTACGATCTGATTCTATTTTTAAATAAGACTTTGATTTGTAAATGATGTTTGTTGCTTTTGGAAGTAATGGCAATAGGTCACTCAAGAAGAAATTTTTTTTTGTATAATTTTAATATTTAAAAAAGCATATTTTGATACTGACTGGCGTATTGACCTAGTGGTTAGTGGTCCTAACTACGTAGCCAGAGGTCGTGGGTTCGATTCCCACCCCGGACAAATACTTGTGTTATGAGCACGATTATTTGTTATGTGTTATGTGTAATATTTCTGTACTCGTATTAAGAAACATTTATGTATGTTTGGTTTGGTTACGATGGCAAAAACTCCTCCCAGTTTGGTATCAGACAGACCGCGTGTGAGATATGTAAACTTATTATTATTTTATCATATGTGTTGACTAAAATCGAGAATAAAACAGATTAATAAAATAACTAAAGTCAATCTAAAATGTTGTAGGTATCTGGTCAGATTTCAAACTGGGTAGAACTTGTATCATGGTAACCAGACAGTTGAAAAACATATGACTAAATACATGTTATGTTCATATTCTCTCTGTTTTGTACAGTACTCTGTTCTTCTCACATACTCCATCCTATCTCAAAGAACGTTTTGAATTTTTACACAATTCGCATTGTATTCCATTGAGATCGTCAGAAAATCAAAAGTTAAAAATGCCCAGTCACGCCACACAATTTATTGACATATATTTCTCAGTGCAAGCTGTTCTATTGTGGAATAACCTACCTGAGGTAATACGGCAAGCTAAATCATTGCAAATATTTAAAAAACTAATAACTAATCACTACTTGACATCATAAAGGCATTTGTGTTTTTATGGACCTCTGTATGTATGTATTTATATATGTTGCATGTGTTTATGTGTATACTGTAAATGTATGTGGTAACCGTATATTTATTTAACTATAAACTATTTCCAATATATTGTACTCGTAATAGTACATCGCAAGCTACCCTAATTTAAATTTGACAATATCCGTATAAAGGTTGTCTGTAAGAGATCGTCGTGAGCGATAAGACCGCCTATTGTTATACCGAACTGTTTATAATATCTGTACAAATAATAATAAATTGCACTCAACATGGAAATAACGGCAACTAATCTAGGACTGTTCAGGATTACAAACCAATAAACGAAAAGATCCATCTAATTTAAATCATCTTTCGTTTTTAATGCTCTACTTTCTGAAGTTGGCAAATGCCTGTAAAGGTGTTAAATAGATTATTGAATGTGCACTTGCTCGTACGCATACATAACAGAAGTATAAAAAGTAAGATAATTTTTTAAAGAATTCCACACAATGTTTGCATTATGCAATAGGATACATGTATATTTATAAAATCATATTTTAAACACTAAGATAAAAATCGTTAAAAAATCGTTAAAAAATCGCACCTTATATTTACCTTTTATTTTACAAGCTCTTATGTGTATGTCTGTAACAATGTTTTTTCTGGTGGAATCTTGCAACCCAATTTAGGAGCAGATATCTTCAACCGATTGGGATGAAATTTTGTGTACACGTTTAGTTTGGATGACAAAGCATGGTGAGTGTTATAATGTTATTCTAAATTCAATATGGCCCAACACCCAAGATGGCGGACTAGTTATTTTTAATGCACTCCTGCAATATGGGTATCACATGAAAGGACTTACTAAGGATAACTCGAAAAGTAAAGTGACGTCACTCTTAAATCTCGCGACAATCTTTTGTCTTATAAATTGTGTAATGACATCATAAGTTGTTAGTAAAAGATTTAAAAGAAAAGTTCTTTTCATTCTTTTTAGTGTATTGAAATAAAAGTTTGTTTTTAAAAAGGATTTTTACTTTTAATATATTTAAAAACAATGAAGTTTCTGTTTGGTATGTCATAATCATAATAAATATTTTATCATTAAACATATCTAAATGTTTACACAGTATTCATTCCGTTTTTTTATTCATTTGTTTACCATTTTGTTGATATTTTCACTAGCAGACAGTTGGTGTGAAAATGTATAAGTTCGACTACTTTTATTTTGTATAATAATTGTGTAGATGCAAGAAAGGTCGCAGCGGGCCTATCAAGATAGTATTTAAATATAACAAATCAAATTAGTCAAATTTATAAAATTACTTACTTGTTTTATGTTTTATATGGCTGACTTTTTGCTAGAGTGAATTTAGGTTTTGAAGTGAGTCTCGGCAGCGGGAGTAATCTAGGACATAATCTATCGGTGTGCCAAATTGTGTGTATATATTTTAAAATACATTAAACATTTAATAGAGTACTGCTAGAGAAATATACAAATAAATCCCATTTCTATTTTTCGCAAATAACATTTACATTGTTACAATGATCGTAACGCAATAGGCTAATTTTAAGTAGAAAATATTTTCTTTCATCGATGCCAGAATTGACGATACTGATTGAAACTATTATCAGTTCGTCCATTTCTATGACGTTCCTTCACCGTTTTCTTTTTATCACGCTTTTATTAGCTTGGTATGTATGTATCTATGTATGTAACGGGATCTTCGAACGTGATTTTGACACACTTTAAAACGTCACATTAAATTGAAATTGAAAGGGCAGCACAATTATGTTAACTGCTTTTTCCATACCTAAAAAAACGGTAGTGTCTTTTGTTATGTTCTAAGAGGCGTGTGCTGAAGCATAAGAAGCACACGTGATAAGTATACGAATATAGTTAGAGAGCGTTATTACGTACATGTACTTAATATAGAAATGGGTTATATATCATTGTAATATGTATATGAAAAAATTATACTTTGAGCCAAGTATCCGGGGCCATACGTTTTTTATAACATAAATAAATACACATCGCAAATTTCTGGATCAAAGACGACTAAAGCGCTAACAACGATCGGCTGACAGAGACGCACATATTCTGAAAGTGACTACTTACATTAAATGTGATGGATCAAAAATATTATTTTAACGGCTATGTGTATGATATTCTAATATAGAATTGTTGTGAGATGCCAAAAATCGTCCTGTAATAATTTTTTTTTTTATGTATATACATATTTGTTGCTATGTTGCAGCATTAATGATATTATAATAAATTTGGAATAACTTGAACTGGTATATATAATGATTTATATTTATAATAATTATAATTGACTAAATTATTTGTTTGCATTAAAACATTTGTATTACTTATCTAGACCTTTAATGTAATTAAACTATCAGAAGTACATACTAACACTGATATGAATTAATTTTTCTTTTGGTTTTTAGGTTGACGGTCAAAGACGGTGGTAATTGGTGTATTCAATAGAGCGGCCAGAGCGTATTCAATATGTGACAGGAACCGCCGCAAAAGACATTGGGTTCGTCTACTCAATAGGCAGCCAAGTCTAATGGGGTTTCCAGGGAATTCCTTTCTAGGGGACAACCGAGCAAAAGACCTGATGATAGATCACAGTGTATTTGCTGTCGGTTGGAGTTCGACATAGCACTTGTAAGATTACTGATTTTTATTTAAATGTCCAGGAAAAAGTGCACACGCATGCATCGCAATGACACTGGACTGGACTATCATGGTATCTTCTGTCTTAGACAAAATACTCATGTCAAAACAAGACAGAAGGACATTTTAAATAGTTTCATTCGTGAACACGTTCCAGTAATTTAAGTATCCTTGTCTACGATGGTATAATACTCGCTTAACGATTACAACATTACCAAGTTCTTTGTAGTTCGATCGTTATATAACAAATTGTTTTTTTGAAGTTGTCTAAAGAATAGTTTAACTGTTTGCATTTAAAAGTCAAATGCTATTGCACTTTTTATTTTGTAAACAGTTATTTGTTGTTACTTTTGACGTCGTTTTCTTTCTGTTCGATTGAGTTACAACCGTCGTTTTCTTCCTGTTCGATTGAGTTATAAGAATACGGTTACCTTATTATACTATCTACTATTATATTATACTATCGCTGTTCATGGACACACTCTGCTCAAAACATACCTGTGCGCTGCCAAGTTTGAGTCCCTCCATCCAGAATTAGGCGGCGGACAGTCACTTAGTGTAAAGCAACGGAAGATTTGTTTAAAACTTGGTTTCCTGGTCGCGGTAACCTTTTGGTCGAGCCGGCCCAGATGCACGAAATCATAGCTCTCCCACGCTACGCTGAAAATATTTAAATAATGTCTATGGACTTGTTCCCTGTGATTATTGTTGTTGTTGATTACTATTGTTGTGTTAATTAACAGATTTTCATGCGCCTTTACATTTGGAATTACTTCAGACGTCTTCTAGAGAATATTTTATAGTATTTCAGTGACGCGTTAGATTATATCACATAATTTGCATCGTTTAATTAATTACGAATACAGATCTATAAATATACACAAATAGGTACGATAATTTTATAATCACAGTACAGTACTCAGTATCCACCCAATATTCAGGCAATTATTAAAAAAATTCTGTAAGCACTTAGCAATCATGAAATGAAACAGGT